GCATAGCATAGGCATAGCATAGCATAGCATAGCATAGCATAGCATAGCATAGCATAGCATAGCATAGCATAGCATAGCATAGCATAGCATAGCGCAGCGTAGCATAGCATAGCATAGCGTAGCGTAGCATAGCATAGCATAGCATAGCATAGCATAGCATAGAATAGAATAGAATAGAATAGCATAGCATAGCAACGAGGCGCATAGCATAGCATAGCAACGAGGCGCATAGCATAGCAACGAGGCGCATAGCATAGCATAGCATAGCATAGCATAGCGCAGCGCAGCATAGCATAGCATAGCATAGCGCAGCATAGCATAGCATAACATAGCGCAGCATAGCAGATCATAGCATAGCATTGCGCAGCATAGCATACCATAGCATACCATAGCATAGCGCAGCATAGCATAGCATAACATAGCGCAGCATAGCATATCATAGCATAGCATAGCGCAGCATAGCATAGCATAGCGCAGCAGATGGCATATGCTTGCAGATCGCATATGGCATATGCTTGCAGATCACATATGGCATACGCTTGCAGATTGCATATGTCATATGCTTGCAGATCGCATATGGCATATGCTTGCAGATCGCATATGCAAACATATGGCATATGCTTGCAGATTGCATATGCTTGCAGATCGCATAATGGCATATGCTTGCAGATCGCATAATGGCATATGCTTGCAGATCGCATATGGCATATGCTTGCAGATCACATATGGCATATGCTTGCAGATCGCAGATGGCATATGCTTGCAGATCGCATATGGCATATGCTTGCAGGTCGCATATGCAAACATATGGCATACGCTTGCAGATTGCATATGCTTGCAGATCGCATAATGGCATATGCTTGCGGATCGCATATGGCATATGCTTGCAGATCGCATATGGCATATGCTTGCAGATCGCATATGCAAGCATATGGCATATGCTTGCAGATCGCATATGGCATATGCTTGCAGATTGCATATGCTTGCAGATCGCAGATGGCATATGCTTGCAGATCGCATATGGCATATGCTTGCAGATCGCATATGGCATATGCTTGCAGATCGCATATGGCATATGCTTGCAGATCACATATGCTTGCAGATCGTATATGGCATATGCTTGCAGATCGCATATGCTTGCAGATCGCATATGGCATATGCTTGCAGATCACATATGCTTACAGATCGCATATGGCATATGCTTGCAGATCACATATGGCATATGCTTGCAGATCACATATGCTTGCAGATAGCATAGCTTTCAGATCACATAGT